GGTCTATGGTATACACTAATAGTAAGCTGCAATGCTCCAAGACTGAAGCTACTCCAGAACATCACCAGTCTCATTGCATCCCATGAACAAACTACTATAGTCCCTGATCATCAAAACCCCTCAATGCTTCAGATCATGGAGACTACGACCTTTGGAAACTGAGGCCAGTTCAGACCCAATTGAGAAAGTGATGCAGAATACCAGACCCCAGAATAACGAGTACAGTAGTCAAAGAACCCAGACTGAATCAAAGTGCTTGTTGATTCTTTGCCAATATCTCCGCCGTCCCGACATCGGGCCCGGCCGGTTATCGTCTGTCGCCCGAGATGCGCAGGTACTACAATAGTCTCACAGACCATAAGATAAAATCCAACCACCAACTCACCATCACTTCCACTCTAAGCGAGTGAACCCCTACAAGAGGAGTCTCAGTATACCTATAATCAAACACAATGCCACAAATCGGTTGGGTCCGTGCCGTGCCATGCTCCCCCCTCCTCCCCCCCCCCCTCCCTTCTCATACCACAAACCAAAACCCCCAAGCTTCTTCACATACCCATACTGAAATCCCACCAACGCAACAGTATGGCCTCGGCTCCATGGGCCTGGCCATGGCCAGCAACCTCCAAAAGCACCTTGCCAGCAAACGAGCCCTGAATCTGCTCTATTCGAACCGGACAATGGCGCGCGGCGACCCCCTCAAGGCCCTGGGCGGGACCCCGGAGTCGAGTTTCACCAAGCTCGTCGCCCAATGTCGAATCATATTCACCATGGTATGTCTCCAAAACCATGACTGAATCCCCATTCCAGCGACCGGGGGCTGTCTGCCCAAAAACACAAAAAACGATTCGATCCAAAAACCCCGCCAACTAACTCCGCGACCAAAAAAAAAAGGTCTCCAACGACGCCGTCCTCCAACATCTCATCACCACAGCCACAGAGTCCAAGATCTCGCTGCGCGACAAGATCTTCGTGGACTGTTCAACCGTCCACCCGAGCACGGTCGGCCGGACCGTGGCCCAGCTCCAGGCGAAAGAGGCCTCGTTCCTGGCGGCGCCCGTCTTCGGCGGCAACCCCATCGCGGTCGACGGCAAGCTCGTCTTCGCTCTGGGCGGGCCGAGGCCGGCCGCCCAGCAGGTGAAGCCTTGGATCCAGGACGTGATGGGCCGGAAGGTCATCGACTGCGGCGAGGATGCTACGCGGGCCTCGCTGTTGAAGATTGCGGGGTGAGTACTTTGGCTCGTTTTACATGCCATCGCCTACGTTGTGTTTTGGGCGTTTTCGGACTTCCATTCGAGGAGGCTGTTTTGGCTCTTGGCTGTGCGAAGAAGGAAGGGAGGGCTAACGCGTCCCTGAAACTAGCAACATCGTCACCGTCAACATGATGGAAGCCGTCGGCGAAGCGCAGGTCTTCGCTGAACGCACGGGCCTGGGCACTGGGCCGATGGAGGAACTCATCGGGGAAGCCTTCGGCCCCGTCGCGGGGGGATATTCGAAGAGGTTGGCCTGTCTCTTTTGTACCCACTACTCAGCAGTTGAATGTACCCTCTAACATGCGCTAGGTTGACGACGGGCGTGTACGCCCCTCCGCTGGGCTCACGGCCTGGATTTGGAGTGTCCTTGGCTATCAAAGATGCCAAACATGCTTTCGCTATGGCCGAGGAGAGCAAGGTTGAGCTCCCGGGCTTGCAAGTGGCTTTGGACAACATGGAGGCGGCCAGGGAGTATGCGGGTGAATGCTTAGATAGCAGCTCCATGTATGGAGTTCTACGGCAGAAGGCTGGCTTGCCATTCTGGAATGAGAAGAGCAGACAGGGCAACTCGTCATGACCGTACAAAGTGTCCGTACAATCAGTCTGTGTGTACTAAGACAATTCCGAGGGATCCAGCATCGTGATATCTGTGGGTTTGTCATTTGGAAACAGTCGAGATACAAATAATTTCCAACGCATTTCTATGACTCAGTATCATAAATTCTGTCAAGCACCGTGTCTTTCGTGTTAAGGCATGCCTCGATGCACTGGCAGCTTTAGTTGACCAATTCAAAAAAGGCGGAAACCCGAGTAAATATCCTTGAGAAAGTATGGTTTTCTTAGACGGGTAATTGCGCATAACATGCGTTCAGATGAGAAAACAAACGTTAGGCATGACCGAGGCCACAGGCCACCGAACTTCGAACCGTGGTTAAAACGCCCACTCTATTACCCATTATGTGCATTTTACTTTTGCCGGTGAGTGTTTTTATTTGATCTTGGTTGTATCTACCAGCGAAGGGTATGCCTCCGCAAACGCCGGGCCGAGGGACCAATTGCTAAGGTTTCGGAAATGTCTTTCGAAGACAGGATTGATAATCAAATCGTCACCATCACCAGTAGACAGCAGACAATCGGTTGCTTCATATGGCCAGTTGACCGACAGAGTCCGTGTGAAGGGTATGAACCAGTTCTCGAACGGATAGTCTCGATACGTCATGACCAAGCGATCTCGCATGCGCGGCCAAGGCAAATAGTCAATCCATGCCGGATGCGGAGTGAGCAACTGCGATGGACGGGGGGTCAGCCATTCAGGCAATCGCTCGTAATTCTCTGGAGTTGGATATATTTGCCATCGCATTAAGAGGAACATCAAGAGAAGAACACAGACTTGCTCCGGCAATGTTGCGATATCCGGGAATGTGCGCAGAATGTCGGTGAACACTTTTGACAAAGGATGTGAGTACACACTCCTTTCTGGATTAAGCAAGGACGATACGCTAGGATACGATGGGCCAACAAGATTCTGTTTCGGTACACCCTTTGCTGCCTCTTGCTGGCGATGATGCAAGAAATCCATGAGGATAGCGTCTAGTGTGCAGGTCGGCGCGATGTTCCGGATTGGAGTCAAGTGCGCAGGCAGGGACAGCGGTTGCTCCGTCGTCGCGCATGCAGGTAGAGGTGCTGGATAAGTCGAGGCTGTGCTCGCAGGGGCTGGTCTGGGTGCCTCGGAGCAACGACGAAATCCATCCACCTTGGGCACCTGTTGCGACGTATCGAGCAAGAAATTGAATCCCATCCGCTCATCCGTGCCGCCGAAGTCGAGGCCATGGGCTAAATTATGTCGCTGGTAATCAAACGCAATGCGAAACGAAGCCGGACCAGCGGCCGTTAAATTCCGCCGACCTGCAGTGGGCGAGAATGTGAGGGGTGTGGAGGAGGGAGGGGCCTGCGTGCCCGCAGGCTTCGTATACGAGGAATCGGTCGAGGCCGACGATTGGGTGTTTGAAGGAAAGTGGCTATTGTCTGAGAAACACGACGTCACGGATATCGAGGGCATGGGTTTGGCGCTCGTGGAAGCGGCTGCCGACGCTAAAAGATCTAGAACATGCCTGAGGTAAGTATATCTGCCCGAATGCTTGTCGAAGCAAACTAGACAACAGATGTGACCTACCGGACTTTGCCTGGTCTCCTAACAGGGGTTGTATGATCTCCAGGACTGCTTTCAACCCCTGCTTAAGTTCTCTGTTCTCCACTTGAACGGCTTCATTCTGCTTCAGCGCAGCCTGAAGATCCAAGTACGGTTTCTGCGATGAAAGATCGCGGACTTGCTGTTCGAGCAAGTCGATATGAGCCTTCGTGCGCTCGCGAATTGCGCGCTGGGCCTGGCGATCATTGGCTCGCTTCTTAGCTAGTTGTTCCGGGGTAAGATTGGCGACACCCCGGGCGGAATTGCTGTTCAGCTTGCGTTTCCGGCCCGCAACCGCCGTGGCCGCGCCTCCAGCATCAGGCGCGGGCGTATCTGCATCAGCGGAGGCCAATGCAGACGGGGTGGGGGAGTCCTCGACTTTCACCACCGAGTTCGAATCGGAAATTGCAGCAATAGATGTGACTGGGTGACCGGGCACCAGCGAGGATGTAGATGATGGGGATGTTTCCTCGAGGGCTGGCGATCGAGCCAATTCATTGAGAGGCGGTAGGCGGGTGGCCATGGCCGAACACTCGCGGGCTGGGGGGCTACGTGAGCTACCCAGCCATTCAACACAGTTCAGGACGTGAGATTAGACGAGTTGTAGAGAGAGTTGGACAACAATTATTGTTTCACCCAGTGATGAAGATATGTGACATTTGAAAAAGACTGACTGGTGGGGATGGGTTTAATCGAAAGCTAATGAGACATGCATGAGCGCATGCTCGAGGTGGTCGGGGAAGGTGGAAATATTAATGAATGATGGGGGGGGGGGGGAAGGAAGGAAGGGAAAGCGGACGGAGGGTCCCGAAGGCGCAGGAAAGGAATCAATTCGGTCTGGTTGGCTCCAGCAGTGGAAGCAGTGGGTATTCACCCCCCCCAAAAGTCAATCATTAGCACCAATGCGCACCACGTTTTGCCTTCCTCTTGTCATTTGCCATTCGTCTCTTCAGCTTTTGGCCTTTTGACAAGATGGCGGTGCAGAATCAAGAACTATGGTTCCATGGGGACAAGGTTCGATAGCGTGGCGTCCGGCATGTTCTAGCTGCGCAAACAAAGCATCCCTTCCGGCCCAGGGTTGAGCAGTCAATGTGCACATCATCGACGGCATTCTGGCCATTGTTCGGCCATTGTTCCTCCCATCAGTCTCCATCAGTCTCTGTCTCAAGCGAAACATTCTCATTGGTCTTCAATCTGACAGAAGGATTAACGCCCAGGCCAAACGGGAAGCAAACTTCGCAGATCCCTTTCTGTTTCTCCGAAGTTGTTGTAGCGATGATCCACCGAAACGTACATTGTGCACGAAACTAAGACAGGTAGTAATACACCCCGCGCACCCCCGGAGGAGACGTTGGAAACGTGGTACGCACAGATGAGGAAAGTAAGGACAAAGCAAGCAAGGTAAGATAGACGTCGCTGTCTCACAAACACCGTACATTACATAAGACCTCTCCTCGAGGTCCTCATGAGTATATAGAGCCCAGGGGTGAAAAAAAAAGGTGTAAGCAGAAAGTGTGAAAGGTGAACATGCATGCGACAAGGAAAGGAAGCTTTTTAGTCTACTGAATCATGTGTCCCATTTTTGAAATCTGTCATCCAATTAATTAGCTTCAAGATACTTTTCGACAGCTAAGATGCACAAATGAAAAGCCCCACAGTATGGGTGAGGCGGAAAGGAGGGAGAAAAAGAACGTACCTTTGTCCTAAGATATCCCTCTACCTCTGTACTCGTAATGCCGGCCTTCCCGCCCGATCTCCATGCCAAGGGGATCATCGGCACGCGCTCCTTAACAACGACCTCGCGGTTGGGACCCTCAACTGCGCGCACCTTATCAGGATTGTTCGTGAGGAGTCGGATACCGTGGGGATTGGCATCTTCTCCCAGGCCAAGATCGACAAGGATGGCTGTAGCCAATCCGTAGCTTCGAGCATCGGCAGGGTGTCGCAACAGCAGATTGGCTTCGACGGTATCTGATCCGAGATCCTGCAAGTTGTACGCTTTGAGCTTTTCTCCGAGACCAATCCCTCGTCCTTCTTGCCGGAGGTAGACGATCACACCACCAGAAGCGTTCGAAGCGACGGGCACTGACTGCTGCGACGCGAGTTCTGACAAAGTTTCCATGGGGAATGACATCAATCTCGCTGCCTCGTCAAGCTGTTCACCGCAGTCGCAGCGTGCAGACCAAGCGGTCTCCCCAGTATAGCATTCCGAATGGATTCGCACGAGTGGCGCTTGACTCGGGGTACTTTCATCTGCATTTTGCGTGTCTTTCGCTCCCTCGGCGTTCCCTTCCTCATACCAACTGCTAACCCGGCCAGGGTGAAGTTTGCCAACATAAGCACCACGAATCATGCGATCCATTTCGGTCTCTCCAGGTCGCACCTTGTCCAAGCTCCGGCTGCGAATTGTGTTGCCAAAGACAATTGCCAAATGTTCTTTGTTATCCAGGTCGTTGTGGTAGAGGTGGAGAAACATCTCCGCGCCCGTGGTCGTCGGGATGCGGGCACGGACAATGCACTCGACATCGGGGAGGCGCGAGAGGAGTTTCGGCGGCTTTGAACTGGTAGGTTGCTGTGCTTGTTGGAGCAATTGTGCCGGATTAAATGTTCCACCTGGGGTTGCTGGCGGGGTAAAGGACGGGGAAAGAAGAGAGGCTGGCACGGCGGGGGTCACATCTCCTCGGTCACTGTCGGTCACACTGACCGCATCGCCACGGAGCTCATCTATCCGACTATTGAAGGCAATCTGATCCGACCCCAGCGAGAGCTGCTCAATGGTATTGGAAGAAGCGGGTTGCGCCGCAAAAGTTGGTGAGGCGTGAGACGGTAAATTTGACATGGCGGGGAATGGCGAAGCGTAAAGGTGGTCGAGAGAAGGAAGGTGTGAGCTCTAGGGAAGAGAGAGGAGACGGTGAACCGATTCTATCCTAGAACTGAATGAAGTTGCACATATGATTCAGCACGGTAGTTGCGACAAGAAGACCATAGCCAGGTAGGATGCTAGAAAAGGGGAGGTGACTGTACAATCATAGATGTCCATCGTGGACTGCTATCTCGGCGCTGCGTTACTCTAGTCTCGGCCCCTCGGAATGGCGGCGGCTTCGGCGACGGGCGGGGAATCTCGATGACTCAGCTGTCATTAATCAGCATGACGCGATCTGTAGTCAGATTGTGGCAGTAGCAGGTAAACGCCACACCATGCACCGCCTACATGATCGCTCTTCTACTCAGTAGGTGAATCTGAATCACCGTGATTCTGAGGGCTGAATAAAACCATGACTAGTCCTTATCTAGTTCATTGGGACGAACTGGGGTGCAGACACTTCAGGCTTTCCCATTAATGCTGACTAGGCACCGGGGCTAAGCTTATTTGAATTTGTCCAAGTACTCCGTACCTAGTAGTAGATTCTATGGATTGCGCTTCGTTCATTTGTCTTTGGTTCACAATATCATTTGTCCGCTATAGAACCACCTATTCTAAGTAACAAAGAGAAGGAAAAGAAGCAGGTTGAAAATTGGCAGATAAAAAGCAAGTCCAACTCCGTGCAAAGTCATAGAACTCCACCAAATCATAAAAAAACCTAGCTAAAAAATGGGTATCAAGTGATCGATCAAACTGGCAGCCGATTTCACCCTTCCTCTGATTGCAGTATCGTATAATGTTTCCCGCGCCATAAACCTGAGGCGATTCCGGACTTATCCCCTTTCTTTTCCTACTTCCCTTCAGAACCATCCATCTGGATTGGCATTATATCGAGGCTTGAGCGAGAGCAAAGGCCTGATAGGAGAGGCACAGAGACGGGTGCATTACTTTTCGGGAATGTCCAGAACGAAGCGGCGGTCAACCTCCATCTCCTTATCATCTTCCTCACCCTCGAACTTGAGGCGATAGACATCCTTCTTAGTACCCATAACCTCGGCACGATAGAAAGTGGTAGTGTCTGGATATCTTGCCAGAACTTGTTTCCCAAGAGAAAACGAGGGTAACGTAGACCCGATGCGAGGTATTGGGATCAGCGACGCTGCGGCGGTTCTGTATACCGCGCCCTGTTCACCGTTTTCGTTTGGTTCCGGGTCCTGTACATCATACCTTTCGAAGGCACATCGGTCAAACGTTCTGTGGGACTGGACTGAGGGTTGGTGCGTACCGTTTCTTGGGCCCATCCCCGGAGATCCCTTTGATAATGCATTGAATGCCCTCGCCTTCGACACCTTGCTTGTTCTTGTTGTGCTTGAAGACGACTTCCGCGCCAACCACTAGATGCCCGCTTCGTTCGGCTAGCGTGCCCTTCGCGCCCTCGGAGCCTTCTTCTACCTTGATTTGTACGATGGGGTCCCGGCCCTCGCGGGCCTGCGAGCTGGAAGCACTGGTACTACGCTGAATGCCACCCTTCACGCGGCTGACTTTGTCCGACAAGGAGTTATTGGACGGACCCGGCGAGTCGGTAGCCGAGCCGTCCATCTCATTTCGCTTCTTCCGTGACTTGGAGAGAGATGCAGCCCGGTTCTGCGGCGCCTCGGCTTCTGATGCCTGCCGAAGCGCTGTCAAAAGACCGAGGTTCTTGATCACATCACTGGGCTCGTCTTGGAGGATAGCTCGTTCCTCCTCGCACAACTTCGCCATCTGCCTGTAAAGGCTGTCCAGTTGGTTATGCTCGCTCAAAGTTGGCTCTGTTGAGATCCGTTAGCGCCTGCAAGACTAACGGCCTCCGCCTCCGAGCAAAGGGCAAACAGAGGTCTAGATGCAACCATGGCTTGCACAAACAGCGAAGCAATAGCACAACCCAATTTCTAGGCGTATAGCCTGAATTGTAGGAGGAAAAAGCACAAGGCAAATGCCCATGGAGATGGAAATGAATCTGACTTACTCCCGCCCTCTCGGCCGATCTTCTCATTCAGCGTAGCTATTTGCTCTGCCAGGACCTTTTGCTTGTCGTTCTTCTCTTTAGCCTTGCGCAGATCCTGTAGAATCTTGTTCCACATATCAGTTTCCTCATTGGCTGCGAGGCCATTGTCCCTGGGGACTGGAGGGCCTCGGGGCCGATTTCGGGACATAATGCGGAGAGAGGGACTCAGGTCCGCAGCTTTATCTTCGGTCTGCTGCTGCTGACCTTTACTGCTTTGAGGTGGGGAGCTCCTACTTGGGGTGGTGGTGTTTAGGGCTGGGCTTGCTAGTTCCTGCGCAATAAGAGTGGTCGTGGTCGTTGTAGACTTGAGCTTGTCTATGTCGAGGGCCTCCCAAGGGAAAGCGGAGACCAGGTCCTTGCGAGCCGAGCTGCGTGTTCCACGCGCTGCGCCCTGTCTCTGCTCGTGGGGTCGACCTTCAAAAAGACCGGTCCTGGGAGAGGAAGAGTTCAAGGAAGCAGCAGGCGGCCCTGGAGTTGAACACCTCTGACTCCCGACAGCAGTCTGAGGCTGAGGAGATGGTAGGTGGTGGAGCTGAGAGGCTGAAGCCGAAGCTGCTGGCGATGCTTGTGATGCTTCCACGGCCTCCTCGCGGACATTCTCTCCGACGGCGGCGTCATGATCTTGGCGCGTCCTCGTCGTCGTCTTCTTTCGGCTGCGACTGGTCGGCAAACGCTTGGTACTCCATGGCATGCCCTGATTGGCAGAGACCATCACGGTCTGGCTCACGTAAGGTAACTAACCTGAACTCAGTAAAGTAAACAAAACCGGTCCGATCATGACTTACGTAAGGACGCTAAGCCTGGAAGTTGTACCGGGACGGACGCTTGTGGAATCACCGAATTGGGGAACCAGCAAGACAATCGGACGAATCTGGAGGGGCAGATTTCAATGGATGCAGTGGATGGAGGGATGATGGAAGGATGGAGGTGAGGCCGAGAACAGTGGTGTCAATGTGAGGTGGGATGGGTAACATCTCATCTTTGAGAGACTTCTGCTTTTCTTTCCTTCTTTCTTCCTCCTTTTCCCCTCACCTTCATTCACTCTAGCTTCCCTAGGAAGAATAACACATTAGTGAATATCTTATCCACCCCTCCTCCCGCTCTTTGCTGCCTTGTCCCTTCTTGAGTTCCCCCTCCCCCACTATCAGAGAGCCTGGGTTCTGTTATCGACAACACCCATTCTTATCCCCTCCACCTCCGCCAAAATGCAGGTCCCATTGCTCCGGCTTCAATGTGGTAAGTGCTACTTCTTCTATCTCTATCCAAAATATAGTCCTGGACTGACAGTCTACTCGATCGCTGCAGGTGTTAATAGTTATGACTGGGGTAGGAGCTCCCCGCACCCCGAGTTTTTACCCGTCTGCCTTTCGCTGAACGCTCATCCCAGGCAAAATTGGCCACGATTCTGCGGCTGCCAAGTATGCAGCTACCTCGTCTGACTCGGACTTCTCGATAGAGGCAGAGAAGCCTTATGCAGAGGTTGGTACGCCTGGTGGTTGAGCCTCCGCAAGCGGTCGACTGACCCGATGACGTATAGCTATGGATGGGCACGCACCCTTCCCTGCCCTCCAAAGATTTCGAGACCAAGCGGACCTTGCTCGATATGGTCCAGGATAACCAGGCTCTGATGTCTGCCGAGGTCAGCGAGCGATATGGCGGGAAGTTGCCGTTCCTGTTCAAGGTGCTTTCTGTCCAGAAAGCTCTTAGCATCCAAGCGCACCCCAACAAGAAGCTTGCAGAAAAGCTCCACGCGAAAGACCCTCGCAACTATCCTGGTAACTAGCTCATGATCCTTGTCGGACCCATAGTGATAGTGCTGCAGCTGACTTCAAATTGTCGTTTCGCAGATGACAACCACAAGCCTGAAATGGCCATCGCGATCACTCCCTTCGAAGGCCTGTGCAGCTTCCGTCCCCTCGATCAGATCACACACTTTCTGAAGGCCGTTAAACCTCTCCGGAATCTGGTTGGAGAGCAGGCTGCCAGTGACTTCGAGCGCACCGTTCGGGGTTCCGAGAGTTCGGAAGACCCCGAGGTAACCTCCAAGAACAAGGACGCTCTGCGCACGCTCTTCACCACACTTATGAAGTCGTCCCCCGAGGACATCGCGGCAGCTACGAAGGAACTAGTCGAAGCCACTCAACAGCCAGACACGTTTGCTACCTCGTCCACCTCTCCCGAGTCGAATCCTAGCAACCCGGCCGAATTGGCTGCCATCATCACTCGCCTTAATGGCCAGTTCCCCGATGATATCGGTCTCTTTGTATTCTTCTTCCTCAACTTCGTGAAACTCGCTCCCGGTGAGGCTATGTTCCTGAAGGCCGACGACATCCACGCCTACGTTTCGGGCGACATCATCGAATGCATGGCGTCATCCGACAACGTCGTGCGGGCCGGGTTCACCCCCAAATTCAAGGACGTGGACACGCTCACGGAGATGTTGACGTACTCATATGCGCCCATCGAGGAGCAGAAGCTGCAGCCGACCGACTACCCGTACGTCGTGCTCAACGCGCCGGCGTACTCGAGCGGCTCATCCTGTCTGCTCTACGACCCGCCCATTGAGGAATTCAGCGTCGTCAAGACGGAACTCCGGAGACCCGGTGCCAAGGCGACTTTCGACGGCCTGGTCGGCCCTAGCATTCTGATATGCACGGGCGGAGCGGGAAAGATCACCGTTGGCCACAAGTCGGAGGAAGTCAAGGAGGGCTATGTGTTCTTCGTAGGCGCCAATGCCGAGTGCATTGTCGAGAGCACCGACAGCGGAGAGGAGATTCCGTTCGTCACATATAAGGCGTTCTGCGATCTGACTGGCAAGGAAGACATGGCGAATGGCAATTAGGCTGTATGCAAGGTCAGTTTGCCTCATTTGCGTCATGTCCATCAGTCCTACATAAATATTTAATTTCGGGTCTATTTTCAATCTGAATTATCTTCGGATGTATATAAGTCTGGTCCAACCTGTCACTTTGTTTGCTGTGCATCACAAGAGAGAGAGAGAGGTCATTTTCACCCGTGCCGGGACATGTCCAGCCTTTGTGAATCTGTTTGGATCTCCCACACTCGAGAAAAGACGTCAGGAGTATAAGTATGAAGACATGGCTTAATAAATACTGGTAACACGAAAGCTATGCCGTCGTATCGATTCATCATGAAAAGAGCAACTTTGCGCTAGAGGGTGGTAGTACTAAATGTAAACTTAAAGGAGACAAATGCAAAGTCAAAACACAGCAGCGCCTAGCCAACTTAGGCCAACACCCTAGGGGCGTACTTAGCCGCCGCAGAGTCAAAGAGATCACTCTTCTCCTGGATATCGCTCAACAGAGGATGCGATGGATGAGTCTGCTGGAGACGTCTGCAACATACACACAAACACACATCAGAATTAGCATCCGCCCAACACCAGAGTTCACGGGAAACATACCCTTCCAACTCCTCCGCCGATTTGCCGGCGAGGACATTCAACACAATCGCATTGGCGATCACCTCCGCCTCGTCGGGGTATTTCTCCAGCGCCGTGGACAGCGCCGCCTCCGCCTCGGGCAGTCTCCCCAGGTGCAGCTCGGCGACGGCCTGGCCGACGATCGACAGCGGGGCGGCGGTGCCGGGCGCGGAGGCCAGTTCCTCGTAGACGTAGAAGGCCGCTTGGTATTTCTCGCCGCCCTGGACATGTCCTTTTGGTCAGTGACTGTAGCGGTCGATCGCGCAAGCAGGTTCCCCCATGAGCGGTCGGTTGGGAGAACGCTCGCTCTGAGGACGTGTCGGACAGGGCACGGGAGAGGGGGGGGGGGGGGGGCACGAAGGGGCAAAGGCAAAGGACATACGACTCTCAACCCCACCCACGATTCCGCCAGGTTGACCAGCAGCGAATCCTGCGCCCAGCGCTTGGCGGCCTGCACTTCTTTCAGGGCGAGATCGGATCGGTTCTGGTGGAGGTGGATCTGCACGATTAAGGCGACGCTGTAGGCGCTCGAATCAGCTCCCATTTTTCCTGCGAATGCATCTCCCTTCTTGTGGAATTCAATGCAAAAGCACACAACAATCCACTCCATTGCCCCCTTTCTTTTCACCCTCTGATCCAAACAAAGTATGGGGGTGCGACTTACGCCTCCAAACTCCCCTGATGCTTAGCCAACAGCGCCAGCGCCTCCTCGCTGTGACCCTGGGCCTGCAGCACCGTGCCGGCCAGGACCTGCACGGTGCCGTTGTCGGGAAAGTTCTCGGCGAGGTCCTGGGCGAGGGTGTGCGCCGATTCGAGGTCGCCGGCCGACTGCTGCGCCAGGGCCTTCACCGCGGCCAGGTCCGGGTTGCTGTCGTCCTCGCCGGCGAGCTCGGCCAGCACGGCGGCGGACTGGCCCAGCGCGATCTGGGCGCGGAGCTGGAGGATGCGGGCGGGGAGCTGGTTCTCCGGGGAGAGGGCCGCGGGGTCGAAGTCGATCACGGCGGGGTATTGGCCTTGGTGGAAGGCATTGTGGATGTTGATCAATTCTGCGGAGGAGGAGTATAGGGGGTTGTTTAGTTATTGTAACCTAGGCTGGTACAATTCGAGAGAACGGGTCGCGGTTGCGGTTGCCGGGAGTGGATGAAGAGCTTGAGGGAGGGGGTAAAGGGGGCATTGGATGTCATTAGGGTCAAGAAACATACCGCCTTCTGCTGAGAATGGATCCATTGTAGCGAGAATTTCAGGAAGTATTCGAATGTCGAATCGAGGGCCAGGTCAGTTCGGAGATAGTAGCAATCTAGTGAATGGCTTGGATGCGGAGGGCGGTCGGGAAAGTCGTCACGTTGCCTTTACGGGGGTCCGGCGGACGGCAGGTGGACCGAGAACTGGGCAAGTCATCCGAGCCAGGCGCCGGAGTTCGGCCACTGTGTGAATGTCTGAGGTACTCGAATATGTTCTGTTCTACAAAAGATGACTATCCCTCATACATCCAAAGAGATCATGATTGTTATTCAATTTGTCATCGAATTGAGCTTGGAAAAATAGCGACCCAGCCGCATGATTCGTGTTAAAACAGGAGATTGAAAGACAAGTAAATCAAGTCATGATTCTCTCCCATACCGAGGACGAGGACTTTATCAATCCCCCCCGGAAAACAAGTGACAGACGGGAAAATGTTGAGATAATAAAGATGCAATGTCGCCACAAGAAGACCTCGGCCTCATTGACAATGCTCAACTTCCTGCGTGTAACTCCTCGACCGTCGATGCCCACGCAACCCAAAATGCAAATGATGATGATTGTCATGATTGATACACCACCTGGAGTTGAGGTCGTAGGCCTAAGGACCGAACCGTGGTGTAACGAATGCAAAACCCAGGAAGAAGCCACGCAAAATAAACAGATAGGATATGGATAAATTTGGCACCGGAATGCGGTCAGCAAAAAAGAAGAAAGAATAAGAAAGACTCAAAGCAAAGGGTATCGCCACATAAATCAGGGTACTCCAGCAGAATAGTATAGAAACAAATCAAAACACAAGACACAGAAACACCGTTCGGCCATCCGGACGCTAAACAGTGGCCATGCATCTTTCACTGCCTCATAGAACAAAACAACCAGTTGCGAGATGATGCTTTCCATCCAGCCCACCTGTGGCTTCCTCGGCAGCTGAAATGCACCCAAGGCTCCAAAAACACAAATGCAAACTAAATAATAACACAGATCAAATGCAGTCAGGCTGGGATAACGCCATTCCTATACTTGCACCTGGAACGAGATGGACAAGATCATGATGACAAGGTAAGCGGGCTAAGAGAAAACGGCAGGAGTGAAGGCGTGGGTCAGTTGAGCATGACGATGCACAGGGACATCTGATGTCAAGCGATTCACGGAGGTAAAGACGAAGTGGAAGCGGCCGAAACCGTCGGGGTCAGCGCGGGGGATGTGGGAGAAGTATTATCGTCGGGAGTCATTGGAGCTTCACTGCCTTTGTCGGAGCCAGTGTCCCGGTCCCTTTCGGTGGATGAGGCTCGTTTGAAGACGGACTGGCCGATTTGACGGAAAATTCCCATTCGCTCAGCGCGGAGCTCTTCCGCATCAAGACGCTGAACTGAGACAGGGTCTTCCTTGGTGATCTTGCAGAACAGCGTGGAAAGCAGGTATTGGTCACCACCGGTGTCACAGAGGGGCAGGTAGCGGTATCCTTGCGAAAGGCTGCTGAGTTTAGCTGTGAATGTGGCCAGCTGCACACTGTTATTGTTTCCTGCACTGCGACCATCCAACGAGCTCCAGACCGTCCAACGTACAAAGACCAGGTCGGGGTATTTGGTTTCTAGCGAGAGCTTGAACCGATCATTGAAGATGGGACTGTAGCCATTGCTCTGTTCAATTTTGGTACGCCGACGGTGAGGATACCCGATCCCTGACATACCATTGCGAGCCGAGGCATCCATGCCTCCCTCGCCAAGTACAAAACTTTGACCACGATCATCCGCACTGAACATCTCGATCTCGACATAAGGATTGATATAATCCTCTGGTCCAAGGCTGCGGGGGCGGGGCAGTTGCTGCGCAGAGATAACATCGACCGAGAATCTGACGAGTTTCCTCTCCTTGCCCTTCGCTGCCTCTTCACCAAGACGCACAGTTCGGAGGGACTCGGGCTTGAGAACATAGCCTGTACGATCCGTTCCGGCTGCGAACATTGCATGGTTCATTTGCATGCCGACGTCGTAAGTCTGCCAATTCAGGGCCGCCATCTGCACACCGCGCCGCCAGAACTTGAGTGGATCAAAGTTGGACGATCGTAAGCGGAACCCCGAGGGATAGACTCTGGTGAGATATTTCCTATTATGCCTCTCAAACAGAGCCTTATTGTCCATGTCGCGGCAGATGCTCTCGAAAGAGCGCTCGGCAAAGGAATACACGTGGTTGTATTGCTGACTTTCCGGAGAGAAAAAGCTATGCCACTTATAGCCGCGGGTGTAGACTCCTAGGTCCGACAAAGGCTTTGTTATCTTGCTCTTCTGGCTTCGTCTTCGCTCCTTTTGACTGGTCGAAAACATGTTGGTGTCACTGTCCTCTGTAGCACTGCTGATGCTGGTGGTCGTAAAAGAGCGTCGATCGTGTGTCAGAAATGTATCGGCGCTGTCCGGGCCAACGGTGGTCGAGCTGGTTAGTGGAGGGAGATTGAAGGTCATCTGATGCTCGGGCACCATCGGTCGAATGAACGGAGAGCTTGAACTGCGTTTACGACCGGAGCTCATAATTGAGGTTGACGTTTCTTGACGCATGTCCGCTTGAGGCTCGTCACATACCTTGACTTTGACCAGGATGCGACCCTTGAGATCTTCAGGCGAGGGCAGAACGAATGTGTTATTGAGGAGCGGCTCTAGGACAAGTTGATCTTTGAAGGTCTCCCTCATGATTCTCACCATGACCAACTGTTGCTCGGGACAACAATGGACCTCAAGAGAGAGAATAAGGGGATAGTCACTGCTGATGAACGCGTACCGATTGATGACGGTGATGCAATCCGCAAATAGCACGCTGGTGGTCATGGTTCTTCCGTGAGAGACAATGGGCCGACCATCCGCGCCATCCCAGCAGTCTATTTCTACACAACGACAGCCTTGCGACAATGCGCTGATGTAAGCTTCAGTGCTGGATGCCCCAGCCACCTGACGTCCCAGGAGGTAAGTGTTGTGTGAGCTTGAAATGAAGTATTCATTCAATGGTCGGTCGAATCGAGATTGGGGAGCTCGGGAGGCATAAATCCCATTTGCCGAGGAGGCCAAGAAAGAAGAGAAAGCATCAACACTCATTCGGGAAACCTGGTTGTCACCGTGTTCCGGAATGCTCGGCGTGCGCGGCTTTGACTTGCGGACAAACTTGTCAAAGATAGATGTCCAATGGGCTTGATCCGAGTCAACGTCCTCATTCTGAACATCACGAAGGAACGATAGGAATTCGTCGAGAGTGAGGCCGTCAGAGTTGAAAGCATTGTCCTTGAAGATCATTTTCACGTCTTTCCGCTCCTTCAATCTAGCAACGAAGTCACTAAACTCGGAAAAGCACAACTTGCCCTTGTTGTTGATGTCAGCCTTGGAAAATTGGGCGCGCAGCATGTTCTTCGAGCAATTGATGTGCAGGCTGCGGCAGACACCCTCC